GGGGGCGGAGGGGCCGGGCGGGGGCCCTGGGGGCGGGGGGAGGAAGGGCCGCGGGTGAGGCCCCCCCCTCCAGCTGCCGGTTCTGCTGGGGCCGAGCAGCCCAGGGGAGGCAGCGGTTAGACGGCCCCTGCCCTTCCCCTCTCCGCCCGGGCCCGCGGCCTCACCTCCGCAGAGGTGCCGCGTCCCCGCTCCTCCGGGGGAAGAGCTGTTGGGCGGCCCGGAGCCATGTTGCTCCCCACGGGAAGGAGCAGGTGCCCTCTGCCCCACGCAAGGTGCCCGAGTCGCTCGGCACTGGGTGCAGGGGACCAGCTGCCAGGTAGAGTGATGCTTGGACGCGGAGGCTGGGCACAGCCGCCGTGCGGGTGGTGCGGTAATGCTGCAGCAGTCGCTTGCTGCCCTGCTGAGGGACAAGGACTCCTTAAGGAGCTGGTGGAAAGCCCCACCCGAGCTCCCCTGGAGGGCTGTGCGGGCAGGTGGACTCGGATGCCTAAGCAGTGAACGTCCCAGGCTGGGGAGGAGGTGACGCAGGTGGCAGGTGCGTGCCCCGCTGGTGGCTAGCCAGAGGGTTTTATCCTGTGGGCTGACTATGGGAGACGTTGCTGAGTCTTGCTTTCTGGCTGTTCCTCCTAGAGGCACCCGGCAGTAGGTGTGAGGTGATCTAGCCTGGCTTTCACCGTAGCCTGGCTCCCTGGCGTCTGATGATGAGTCTGACCCCCTCCAGGGGATGCCTCCTGGACCTGCCCTGGGAAGACATCTTGGTTCCACATATCCTCTGTCATCTGCCACTGCAGCAGCTCCTGAGCCTGCAGAGGGTCAGCAAGTCGTTCCAGTCTCTCATCCAGCTGTACCTGGCCAACATGCGCTGCTTTGACTCAAGCCAGGTATCGGATGGCTCTGAGGCTGGGGGAGGCCCAGATGTCCTACTGCTCTGGAGCTAACAGGGAGCATCTGACTATGTGGGGAGAAGAAGCCCCTGGCAAGGAGGCTGGTTTCTGCTCAGGAGCTCGGGTTAATGGCTCAGGTGTCAGACTGGACAGATGGGCTCAGGGAGGAGAGATGGTGATTCAGGGCCCAGCAATGCCACTGACTTTAGCAAGAGGCCTTGGGAGGAGTGAGCTTGAAAGCTCCACCTAGGCCATTATGGGGCACTGACTGGCAGAAACACAAGCCAGCTCTAGAGTGGCATGGCTTGTCAGTCCTCATGGAGGTTGTGCAACAGGGTGGGTCTGACGAGAGATAACTCTGTGCCTGGTCTTGAGGGAAAGCTTGTGCAGGCCCTCCAAGAGACTGCCTGGGACTTGGAAAGACAGGAGTGACTGCTTTTCTGTGAGGGCACAGAGTGGTCTGGCAAAGAGTATTTGGAGATCAGAGGTGTGGAGCTCATCAGGAGTACATAAATACAGGGGTGATGATGGGGGATGGAGAAGCCAGAGTGTCTTCTAGTTTGTGGCAATAGCCTTGGCATGAGGGGAGGAGAGCCTGATGGCAGGGTTTGCTCTGGGATGAGGAGAAGGTGGCTTTGGTCACCTCTGTCACAATGGGTGAGAGTCTCTGGTGAGGATCAGGCTGATCTGAAACCCTGGGGAATGCCTCACTGTTCCTGGGTTTCCCACGCAGATTGGACCTGCCATCCCTAGAGCTGCTTTTGTTAACCTGCTGAAGGACAACGAAGTACTGCAGCAGTTGGCACTCCAGAACTGCTCCGACTGGCTGACAGACAGGGAGTTGCTCCCGGTCATCGGGCAGAACCACCACCTGCACCAGATCCAGCTGAAAGGCTGTGCCCAGCTCAGCCGCCATGCGCTGGTGGCCATCTCGCTGAGCTGCCCCAACCTGCGCCGCCTCTCCCTGGCTCACTGCGAGTGGGTAGACAGCCTGTCCCTGCGCAGCCTGGCAGACCACTGCAAGGCGCTGGAGGCTGTGGACCTGACGGCCTGTCGCCAGCTGAAGGATGAGGCCATCTGCTACCTGGTGCAGAAGTGCAGCAGGCTCAAGTCTCTGTCACTGGCTGTCAATGCCAATGTGGGTGATGTGGCAGTCGAGGAGATTGCGAAGTGCTGCCCTGAGCTGGAGCACCTGGACCTCACGGGGTGTCTGCGAGTCAAGAATGACTCCATCAGGTACTGAGCAACGCGGGGAGCTGGGGTTGGGATGGCAGGTGTCTGAGACTGGGAGAGGAAGAGAACCAGAGAGAAGTCAGATTTCCTTATGCTGAAAGCAGTGAGAGCTCAGTATGGGGTAAAGCCACTAGCAGGCCTTTCAGGAGAGCCTACTGTGTGCTACTAACAGCAAATTCCTGAGCATGTCAGAGAGGGTAGGTCTGGGATCCAGCTGTGTCCCTTGAGTTTCTTTCAGACCACCAGCGTGCTGCTCCTAAAGGATGGTGCATGTATGGCACAGTCGTGAGCACTGGGCTGCTGGGAGTAGAGAAGAGGGTGAGTGGTGCACTCAGGAGTCCTGGCTTGCAACCTGCATGTGCTCTCTTTCTTGGCAGGGTCCTGGCTGAGTACTGTCCAAAGCTGCGCTCGCTGAAGGTGAAGCATTGCCACAACGTGGCCGAGTCCAGCCTGAGCATCCTCCGAAACCGTGGGGTAGAGCTGGATGTGGAGCCTCCGCTGCAGAGGGCTCTTGTTCTCCTGCAGGACGTGGTTGGCTTCGCCCCTTTCATTAACCTCCAGATCTAGAACTGCTGCTGCTGCTGGGGAGGGGGGGACTGACACAATGCTGGGATCCCAGGAGGATGCCAGAACAGGCTGCTGCGGAGACGTGCAGAGGGAGTGGTTGGTCCCATTGGTGAGGCTGGCCCAAGTGGGGCTCACTCTTTTTTTTTTCCACTGGGTGTTCATGAGTGGGCTTCGTTGGTGCCTCCGGGGAAAGTAACTCCCTCTGCAGTGGCGTGGAGAGAGCGAGTGACTTGCAGGAACACCATGGTGCTGAACAGGCCTTGGCCAGGCCAGCTAATAGATAGGATTTATTATTTGTTGTATTTTAAAACTCTACGTGGCAGCTGTCCAGAGAGCAGGAGAGTGTTTGACGAGGACTGTCACCTCTGGGGTGGGTGTGCAGGGTATGCTAGCAGAGCTGTGAACAAACCAGGCCAGCTAGAGCAGGAAGGAGAACAACCTCCAGCCCTCCTCTTGGGAGAGGGCAGGTCCCTCTGGGCTCTGGGACAGGCCTTGGCCAGGCCAGCTAATAGATAGGATTTATTATTTGTTGTATTTTAAAACTCTACGTGGCAGCTGTCCAGAGAGCAGGAGAGTTTGACGAGGACTGTCACCTCTGGGGTGGGTGTGCAGGGTATGCTAGCAGAGCTGTGAACAAACCAGGCCAGCTAGAGCAGGAAGGAGAACAACCTCCAGCCCTCCTCTTGGGAGAGGGCAGGTCCCTCTGGGCTCTGGGAGGGGGGCAGAGCGAGCCTAGCTCCAGCCTGTGGCCACTGGCCAGCCTGGCCCCAGGGGGCTGGCATGGCCCTGGCACAGGTAGTGTGTCTCTCCAGGCCTAGGGCATTGGTTTAGGCTGGTGCAAGATGTTTCCAGGGGGAACACGTTCCTAACTGCAGCTTCACTGACAAACACCAAACCTAGTGGTGCTGTCACTGAAAGCAGTTGGTCATTGCCATTTGTTTTGTCCAGCTTGTGACTTAACGTTTCAGTAGTGCCCAGGCTGGCTATATCCTGCTCCATCTTGCGTGGCTGGAGCCTTGGCACTCAACAGTGGTGAGAAATGGCAGGAGCCCTGGCTGTATTTATGGAGTGCTGCAGGTTGTGTTGGCAGGGAGAGCTTAGTTCTGGTCTGGAGTTCAGCCTCAGCCCTTGTATCCACTAGGTGGTTAACCAAAGAGCAGCCACATCTTGTGGTGAACACAATGAAGAGAGTAATTAGGGGAAGAGAGGATGACCCTGCTCCTATCTTTGGCCCCAGGAGTGATTGGAGGCGATGTCCTTAAAGCATGTGCATGCCCTGGCTGAACTACACACAAACTCACATCATCTTTATTGCTGGCACTCAATTTAAAGCAACAGTGCACACAGACGTGTAAAAAGCTTGCTGCAAAGGCACAAGCCACATCTTAGATCTAAAAACGTCCCATGCAAGGAATAGCAGAGAATGCCCAGGCCCCAGAGAGCCACTGCAGTGTGCCCCTGAGGGCAGAGGGACAGCTACACAAGGAGAGAAGGCTCCTCCTTGTCAGCTGGGTTAGTTGAGGAAGCTGAAAGCGATGTGCTGGCTCCCAGGTTAGTTCCAGTTAGTGGCAGGTGGAGGAGTCCCCCTCATCCCTAGTGCCACGTGTCCATCCTGCCATGCCTGGCCGGTGAGGTGGAGGTGGAAGAGCAGGAGGACCTGGCTGTCAGTGGAACTTGTACTTCCTGGCTGGTTTGAGACTGATGTAGGTTCTCTTCATCTCCTCACTCTCAGGCTTCTTGATGTCTTTGTACCTTTCTCCCTTTGTACTCACCACCTGGTTATCAATATAGCGGATCAACTTCTTGGGAGCCTGGAAAGACATTAACACCAAATGGATGGGCAGCCATGCTGCTAGGGAAAGGGAAGGGACAAGCAGAAGCAGAGCTGTCCGCTGGGGGGTGGGTGCAGGAAGGCTGGGGTGGGCTGCTTTACCCATCCTTTATGTTGGGAATCTTGGCCAAAACTAGGAAGGAAGCTGCCTGATGAGGTGGGGGGGAGCAGGAGCCATGCTAGTCAGGAATGGGACAAACTGACAGACCCTGCAGCACCTTAAGCTAAGATAATCTTCCCTCTTTGCTGACTGGCAGGCTCTGTGAACTGTCCTGCCTTTGGCCTGACCCTTTGCTTTTTGGACTTGCAGCCTGATTTTTAAACCTTATAGCCAAAGGACACTGAAACTGCTGGTGAGGTGGGAGAGCTCTTCTTACCTCTTTGGGTGGAGCTGGCCGATGTGTTTTCTGATCATCTGCACTATCCACCATCATGTATCTGGAACACAACAAGCATTTAGTGAGCACTGTAACATGCGTTGCCTGGGGCTATTCACAGCCTATGTCCTTTCTCCCCTGGCTGGTTTGTGGCTGTGCAATGTGTCTTACTTGCCTAGATTGCAGCTAGGAGCACTTAACGTTCCCCTCGGGATCAAACAGGCAAGAAGTGTGTCATCCTTCTGGTGAGAATCCAGCAGGATTCTCCTGGAGTAGTATCTTGGGTCGTATGTGAAGGGTATTGAAAACTCAGGCTGTTGAGAATGCCGATAGCCTCTGCAGAACTGCGAGGTGCTGAGGTCTGGTCTGCTCTGCCACTGGCGCAGCTTTGCTCCTTCTCAGCCCGAGTGATGGCAGCCAGAGGAGACAGAGGTGGGATTATAGGACCAAGCTGGCTGCATCTACCCGGAAGAGATGGTGTTCCTCTCATGCTCCACCTTCTACTTGACTAGAAAACAGGTCTGTGCTGGAAGCAACTTCGTAACAGCATCACCTCATTCCCTGTGTGACTGAAACATCAGGGTCCAAGCATTTGCTTGCTGTACTGCTGAGTTAATACTCTTGAGACTTCGGTGCTGGTTTAGTAGGTGGACAGCACAGCTGACCATGACTTCTCCCTCAGTAGCTAGAATAGTTGCTCCTGTGTATCTTCAGCTATGGTGATCTGCTCTCTGTACCTGTGCTTGAGTGATGTTTAAAGTACAGGATGTTGCCAAAATGTCATTAAAATGAAGTTCCCAGAAACACATCTAGCAGCTGGTACTTTTTTGTTCCCTTGCATGTTACTCTGAAACAAGCCTGCACAGGAGACGGGCAAGGACAGGGATTACTAATTCTGCCTGGATGCCATTCTGCCTTGCTTTATCTTCCCTAGCCATCGGCTGTTTATTCGGTCACTGGGGAGGATGTAAAGTGGTGGAAAAGACGTGGCTGGATAGACACGTGGAATCTGTGTGCCCGCAGGAGGATACTCATGAAAGCTGAGATCTTAAAGTGGATCGATGAAACCACAGCATGAGTTCTATTGAGAATTAAATGCTTTTGGAAACGAATAAAGGTAAACCAATCTAAAGCCATTTTCAGTCCCAAGAAGTCCATAGGGGGACTTCAGAGAGGTTTCTTTAAATGCAGTGAATTCACACTTTCAGCAACTGAGATTTAGTCTTCCCAGTGTTGCTGTACAGGCAGTCTCTTAAAGATATCTTCAGCCTTTTTTGGACTGTCTCCAAGGATGGAGGTATGAATGAGTTGCTGTAGTTCTACAAGTCACCGTGTGTTACCTGAGCTGCAGCACAATGTTTGTGCCTTGAACCTTTAACCGGGACCTCAGCTGACAGTACTGTGACTTAGACTATACCTGTAGGAGGCTGAAACCTCACACACAGCCAGTGCTGTGACCCATCTGGGGCGCACAACCTCTTTCTGTGCCAGAGCTCTAAAAGAAACCCACACCTGTTTGGTTGGGTTTTTTTCCCCACCTGATGATTCTACTTGTGCTTAGATGTGTTCAGCTATACCGAAATCAGCTTCATGACATCCTTTCTAAGCATTGTACACCCCACATTCTTTATAGACCACGTTGTCATTCTGACCTTCCCCAAACTGCCACCTCCACCTTTACTGGGAGCTGAATAAGGGGTTCTTTGCTGGGTACTTACTTCTCTAGGATAACCTGTTTTAGTTCCTCGTGGTTGGGTGTTCTGCGGGGTCGTGCCAGTTCCTGGGAGGAGACAAGGCAGATACGTGAGTAGCACAACACGTGGGGCGTACAGCCACCCCCCTGCCAGCTCTGTGAGCCCAGCTGCTGGTGCAGCACTTCAGCCCTCGTGGGAAAGGGGGTGCCACCACAGCTCCGCTGGCGTGCTGGCTCAGCCGTGGGCACAGCCTGTGCTCAGCCAAGGGAGGGAGGGGGCTGTTGCTCCAGGCGATCCCCCTGGCTCATTGCGCAGAAAGTTCCTGCAGTCAAAGCTGCTTGCAGCAGACAGCTGAGACACCTGTGTGTGTCCCTGAGCTCTGCCCTGCTCCTTGGCCCACTGCCACCCAGCTCAGAGTACAGTACCTTCACACTCGCACCTGCTGGGCCAATTTCCACCTTCTCCTCCACAATTAACTGCACTGCCTCCTCCAAGTTCCCCAAGGCCATGGCAAGTGCCTTCTCTGCCTGGCTCACAGTACAAGCTGGGAACATCTCCAGTAGCAGCTCCACCCCATCCTTCAAGTCATCACCTTCCTAGTTGGAGCAAGAGACAGAGGTAAGTTGGGGATGCAGCAAGGAGAGGGCTATTGAAAAGGACTTCTCTGGTTTTGTGTTGTCAGGAAATTCGGTTTGCCCTTAGCTGAAGGCTCTCTCCCCATACAAGCATGACTAAATCCCATTCGTGAAGCTAACAGGGGATTTTATCTTTTCAAGGCCAAAGCATCACTATTCCTTAATCTCAGCCCCCTGTATTTCAACTTTCTTTAAAGTAGGGCTGCTGTGTGGCCACACTACGTCTCTCCTTAGGAGTCAGCTTTCTGGATGCTGTAGCACAAATCCTTGAACGCCTGCTCACCTTGTGAAGTTATATGTGCTTTGATCAGAAAGGGAAGGGACTGCTAAACACAGTGACCTGTGGCTACATCAGAAGAAAGCGCAGCAGCAGCATTTTCTAGAAGGTTGTGGACACAGAATGATTGCACTGCGGAGCAGGAGGAGATCAGCACTGGAGAACCAGCAAGCAGCGCATGGGGGAAGGAGGTGAGGGGGATCTGCCAGGTGCTGCAATGCCCATAGCATGGGTTATGCTGAATGGTGTTGCAGGACCAGGACCAGGACTGCTGGGGCCAATGACTCAGTGCTGTATAGCTCAGTAAGTGCAGAGCACAGAAGGTCATTAAGGGAGGGATCGGCGTCTTCAGGACCGACACCCAGACACGGCTGCTTCTCGTGCAGATACTGTGTGATAGCTGGGGAGAGAAATAGTGATACAGCTCAAACTGGGGAATAAGGCTAGAGGAACAGGGCGAAGCCTGGCTAGTACTGCAGAGACATCCCCACGGTGCTGCTGTGGGACCTCTGAGGGCCCTGGGACAGGCTCTCTCAACCACCACTCTGGCTCATCCTTTCCAGAAGCTGGAAAGGATGAGACAGAGCAATGGCGAGTACTTCCGTCAGCACATAATTTTCTTTTTCCACTTACTGACACAGTCTTGCTCAGGCCATACAATGGAGGAGATCACAGACACCAGTGATGCTGTGTCACAGCCTATGCTGTGGTTCCTTCCAGAGCCAGAAAATGCCCTCAGGTGGTGCTGGTAGACTAGTGCTGGGTGACTGTCCCCAGTGCTCCTGCTCCTCTGTGGGGTGCTCATACCTGGGCCCCGGCTCCGTCTGTTGGAGTAAACAGCCCTTCCCCGTTGCATGCTTCAGCTCCAGGCTCCTGGCCCTTGGTCAGGTCTTCAGGAGGTGCTTCACTCCTGCTTTCCACAGCCTTTTGGCCAGGTTTTTCTTAAAGACATAGTGATATCTCCTGAGGAACAGTCCCACTAATGCTAGAGCTCTGAGCTTTCTGTTGGCATTATACTACTAGTGCATCCATGCCAAAGCAAATCCCTTCTGCAGCGAGGCAGTGCTAGCACACACTGGAGCGCCCAAGCGCTGCATTTCCAGGCTTTCCAGGCGTGGGCTGCGTGCAAATTCAATTCTACCTGTCAATTCTTAGCTCTCTATCGCTTTGGCTGTGGATACTTACAGTCTTTTTGTTACATTTCTAAGAATTCCCTGGTGTTTGCTCTAACTTTGAATTAAGGTGTGGTTTTGGTTTTAAATTTGGGAATACACTCTGGTAGTCCCCAGGCTCTACGTGAGCCAGCACATCCTGTGATCAGGTTACCTGATGCATCTCTCTTTACAGGCTCTTTCTGTGTCACTTTATGAAAAATCATTTCACCTCTGTTCTGTCCTCTCTAAAATTGGGATGGTGCTGTCCATTCACACTCTGGCTATATCAGGATCCTCAAAGGGGAGGACGCAGGGGACTAGAGCATAGCAGCAGATTTTGTCAAGTTCAAGAAAGCAGCAAGTAGAAGACAGGACTATCTGTTCTACGTTGTGTAACCTTCTCGCAAGACTGCAGTGATGTTACCAGATAAGCAAAACCCAGACTGGTGTGTCCTGAAAGGTTTAATATCCAGGCACTTCACCTGTCTGTTCTTTAGTGGGAAGTACCTTTGGGGTTGATTAATATAGCAATCCAGCCTATCTGTGAATGCTGAGGTTAGAAAGGGCCACTGAGATAGCGTAGTCTTCTGCAGTCCTGCATAGTGCAGGGCAGAGCACATCATTGCTGATTTTGTATCCATGTGAAGGTTCACGGGTGAATGGGAAGTGAGCCTGGGGGATGCTTAAAGTTTAGAAGTGACACACATTATCAGCTAAATTCTCTATTTGATGATGCACCTGACATGGGCTGCCCAGTGGTAGTGTCGCTGAGGCAGATGGCTATCAGAGGCAGGCAGAAATCTTCACTTTCAGAATTAACCTAGAGTAGAATTTCAACAAGCAGCCCTGTATCTGCTATTTCTTCCTTATTACTTTGAATTTGATCTTAACAGAGGTGTTTGGATCTGATCAACTGTTTTTCACCCCAGTAGGTCTTGGACAGTATTCTGTATGACTCAAACCTCCCATGTATTGCTATCAGAAACCTGACTGAACGTTAACAAAAAAAAATCGTCAACCAATTCAGGCTACCTTATGAGATCCTAACTGTGGCAAATAAGATTGTATTTATCCTGTGACAGCGCTCAATTCCAAACACTAAGACTGAAAATGTGCAGAATATACCTTCTCGTGCTGAAACTGCCTGTGTAACTCACCTTTGTTGCGAGCTTCACCAAGCCTTTCTGAGAGGGAGAACATCATTTCACAAACTTCCTCACTGCAAGAGACAGAAGCCATATAATTAGTGTGAGGAATAAAAGCAGTAGCATACCCTACTTGGCTACTTCTTCATGGAAAGACAAGGCTCGACAGGAAGCCCAATAAAATAAACTGGTATTTCAGATGGCCTACTTGCAAACTATACTGTGTATTCAGGCAAAGACTGACTTAATCATAACGACACGGGTTTGTTAGCAATACATCTTCAACTCGGTACAAAAAAAAGACTTTACGGTACTGAGGGGCTTGGGTACAGGCCCCCAGCGTATGGCATGCACATAGGAAGCAGTAACATTCACATACCTGTGGATTTCTGCAAAACCAGGGATATACGCCTCCATCATTTCCACAAAGGTGTCCATGTCAAAAGTCTCCTCAGAGGACTCCGGTGAGCCCAGCTCTTCCAGGACACCCGTGATATAAGAGAAGAAAACATCATCCATCCCACTGGAGACAGAGAGAACACAGGGCATGGCAGCAGGGTCAACAGGCCTGTTATTTCTCTCTCTTTCTCTCCATTCCCATTCGCCCTAACCTTGTGTCTTTCTAATACAGCAGCAGAAGGACCTATGTGGACTGTATTTTATGGGCAGATGCCACCAGTAAAGCCAGGTAGCAGGTGGTCAGTAGTCAAGTGGACAGCATTTATGGATAAAATCCTATATGCCATCCTGCTTCCGGGGCAGCACTGAAAGCCCCAGCGTGTGTCCAGAGGCTGTGCTCCTATAGGTGCTTCAGCTGAGCTAACCAAAATCTTCCAAGTGCTCAAACCCTGACTTTTCTATGTTGACTGGTGTTGCAGGTGTGGTCATGTTGTTCTGGCAAGTTGCAATTTCTACAGGATGCAGTGTTATCTGCTTGCTGCTCTCCACACTTGTGTTGCTGTTGCCACAGGCTGCACCACCAGCTGCTGTGTTCCAGCCTCAAGGTGGCTGTATCTCTGCACGCAGGCAGAGTTCAAAATAGGAAGAGCCCTGACATAGCATTGTGCTGCTCAGAAAGCCCTTTGGGAGCACTGTGGAATGAAGGGAATCCCATATTCTAATGTGTATTACTGGACAGGAAATTAATCACCTTGGTCATCAAAGAAATGACATTGCTAGATTGCAATGCTAAACGATAGTTGGTCAAGCACTCCCATCAGAGCCTGTGCAAATTACCCGCATCCTGGATCTGACTTAAGGAAAAGCAACACCAAGTACAGGGAAACTACAGAGTTCAGTATAATGTGTAGAGGGACAATTAATGCAGAGCTCAAGATAGAACAATGATATTGGATCTTCCTATCTCAACATACCTGAGGTCTGCTGCAGGGATGTGAGACTGGATGAAGCACGTCAGTGTGTCTCGAATGATTTTTTCAAGCTCCATATCTCTCTAAACCTTTTTCTCTAAAAAAGAGGAGGAAAAAGAAAACTCCATGTAATTTCAAAGGCAAGCAGCAGATCAAAAGGTAGGTACGGTACAGGCAAGTGTGCTCTTCCCATCAGAACAATTCACAAACTCCTCCAATGTGTCCTGTCATCCCTGGGTAACAGCAGGCAGATATCCACAAAAAGCAGCAGTATGAGGATCCCCTGAAAATACTGGTCCAAAGCAGCGCAGTATCTTGGGCTTCTCCTGCTCCTGTTGATGCTGGCAATATGCAACTGTACCGTACATTTAAAATGTCCCCTCCAGGAAGCAAAGCGGGAAATGCAGATGTGTCCAGCTGCAGGACCTCAGAGACACCTTTTGAGCTGGAATGCTGTGCTGTCTGGCGAGGAAGCAGCGGGCAGTGGGTTTATACGCTCGGTGCAGAAAGGGGTGGACCTTCCAGCTAAGAGCATTCACAGTGATGCTTGGACTCGGGAACAAGTGGGAGGAAGGGTAATGGCTCCTACAGAAAGGACAACCTAGAGCATATTTTACAGGGAAATACCAAGCAGGGCACAGACAACTAGTCTGCCAGCCAAAATATCAAAGGTCTCCAGGTCAGGCACAGACTGCCAGTGGAATCCCGCCCAAACAGGAGCCTGTTGTTGTGCTCAGTAAATGAGCCATTCTGCAGTTGATGCAGCTGCAACAAGGGGTGCTTGATAACCCAAAACTCAGGGGAGTTCTAAGAATCACAGTGCTCCTACAGAAGCAATAGCAGAGGGGGGCTGCCCACAGCCCTCCTTCAGCCGTCAGTACTGGGCCTGGACTGAATCGGGTGAAGAAAAGCTGTTCCTTAACCATTCCTTCCCCCTGGGGTCTACAAAGCTGCTGGGTGGACAAACTCCTGGTGTAAGCACAGAGTTCTTCCAAGGAAGGAAACTAGCCCTGCACACAGAGAAACTGATGTGGTCATCAGCCAGAGAGCTTCCAAAGGTCACCATGCTCCCACCAGTGCAGCTCCTTCATTCCAACCACACCAGGACCTGACCAGGTCTGTTTGACACAGAACTCCTGAAGCAGTCATGTGGGTTGCTGAGAGACAATTCCCATGTTCCCAGGGGAATCAAAAAGGTTTGGCATTTCCCGAGATGAGGCTTCCAGAGATCACAGGACATAAAACCACCCCACAGCATTCAGCACTGCTCTTGCAGGACCTAGAGAGAACCAAAGCCCAGCAGCCTGTTGGCAGGGCCATCTGCAATCTTGAGGCCCATTCAAGCTCTGCACTGCACTTGGCCACCACTGCAGGTGCCCAGAGCACACATGCGCTTCTCTGTTTGTGACTGACCCAGGGAGCTTGCCCAAGCCAGCTGGACCTGCCTCTGGCTACGGTCACGCTGAGGCTCTAGGGATATGACTCTCCCTATTGAAGGAGAATGCTTACACAGAAGTGCTCTGCTGGGTATACGGCATCCCACATTGCATCTCCCTGCAGTGATTCCCCATAACATATTCCCAGTTTGTGCTCTTATACTCTTCAGGGCTTTGAACAGACACAGGTTTTGCTACCCGAAGGACCAACTGAATCCCTGTGTCAGTGCCATTCCCTTGGGGCAGTAGGGAGACAAATGCAGAGAGAACCTCACAGCAGCAGGAAACGAACAGTGAGATATACTCATACAGAAGAGCTGCCCCAATTTTCACTGTGTTGAAAGCTAAACACAAAAGCCATCTAATCACTTAAACTTTCCTGCAGCTGCTGTTAGTATTAACCCTCCTGCTGATCTAGATCCAGTACCTAAAACAGAAAATAAAGCCTTTACATGTGCGTCTCACTTGAGGAAATGAACAGTAAGCTAAAAATGCCATACCACTACATGACCAACATGCCTGTATTCAAAGACAGCACATCCAGAAACAGCTAGAGGAAGGCATCATCAGAAAGGATTATTTGTTTTCTATTTCTGTCTTAAGCCAAAAAAAATCTTTACCTCCTGTAATTTCAATTAGAAAATTCCCATTTCACAGCATTAGAGGAAAACAACAGCCCAGACTTTTTCAGGTAGGAGCTCTTCACGCAAACACCCAAAGTGAGCCCCTACGTTCCTGCGTTTTTATTTTTCAGCCTCATGAGGATCCTTTGCTTGCATTTTTCTCACTTTTCTAGATGTAATAGCCTGCAAGTGTGGAAGCTGGATGTAAAAACAACCACGTGCCAAAACACCTTCCCGCAGCCCATTTGTTGTTTCTGTGCGTTTTGTGTGTTCTCTAGTGGTGTGACAGAACGAGGTTTATCTTTGTCAGCTTTGCAACATACACAGCAAAAAAGGTGAGCTTTGTTCTTCTCAGACATCAAAAAGCCAATGATAAGATTTTGAATCTCACTGTTGGCAAGAATACCATCCTAAGCAGTACATTTTTACCCTCATTTTAAGCTGAATCTGCAAATTGGCAACCACCAAGCCCCCTGTACTTGTAAGTACAAGAAAAGTAATTTTCTTTTTTACAGAAATCAGGGATGGGAAATCAACAAACAGCAGTCAAAATGTTCTTACTACAGTCACTGCTATCAAGAAGAATGCTTATTTCCTTCTTCCTCGGAGTCTTCATGAAATCCTGGGAACTGGAAGTCGAAAAGATTTTGTCCGGTTCCACTAAACAGGCCTATATTATATAAGAGATAACTGTATAGTAACCAGTAACATTTCCTGACAACCCAATTACCTGAACAACAGAGCACAATTCACCATGTCAAAGGCACTTTTGTGAGGTCCATAAATTAGCTGCTGGTAATTTATTCTGATCAATAGAACAGGCAAAGTCACTCATCTCCTTAATCAAAGGCACTTGAGGCAAGTGTCAGACTGGGACAAGAGAAACACAGAAAAATATAATTCAGCAATAGGAACATCATAGCTATGGCCAGGCACTAACTGGTGTCGAATCCATTCCCCGACCTCTGACAACCTCAAGAAATGCTGGTGTGAAGTGTTTGAAAATATTCAGGCATTTTTCTGTGGAGTTACCACACTGTATCTGAACAAAAACTATTTCCTTGTGTCTGTGAGTGGAAAGAAGGCAGCAGGTTTTAACCATTGGGTATAAATGGTTAAATGGCACAAATCTCAGACAAATCCATCCACCAGCACACTCGGATTTAAGGTTTACATACAGAGAAGGCAAGCTGCCACCTTCAGCCTGCCTTTGAAGAAAGGAAACCCTTTAAATGACAAAAGCACAGTTTACACTGAAGGACAGAAAGCAGACAGGTGATCAAGTATTTCTTCAAAGGTCAGTCATCGCCCTTTCACCTGAAGAACCCATCTCTGCTCCTATAAAACGAGATGCAGCAATAGAGACAAACGCGTTTGCATTTGATCATTTATTGTTACAGGGGAGAGATTTTATTCCCCAGTAAAGAGACTGTCCTTACAAAACTTAACATCTGTGGGATCTGTAGTGCACAATGGTCTTGGCCAAATGAGGTTTGTGGAAGACAAGTCCTGAAGGTCCTCCAGCCTTTCAGATTCGGTGGGTATTTTCTTGAAATAGAGGGAGCTGATTAAAAACTTTATATAAACGTTTTAAAATAGATTCTTCAAGGAACAAACTGATGTTGCTGCATGTTCCTCTTCACACAGCCAAGTTCAGAATTACAAGAACTCAGGACACCAAACCACCTTATGTACTTTACCTTCAAGTGCAACATTTTTCAAGTGGTCACCCACAATAGTTAAGAGGGAGATTTACTAGAAGGGCTTATCCTATGTGCACAGTTTTGTGGAGGAGTGATTTATAACGCAAAGAATGATCTAAAGCCCAAAGGCAGGAGAAATCACTCTCCTGAGAGCTCAATTTTACTGAAAAGGTATTATCGTGATTTTAAACTTCCAGCTGTAATTGCAATGTGGATTTTAAGATCACCTTAGTAGTTGTCAGCTGATTCAAACATATCTATGAAAGTCCTTCTGTATGTCTTGTCATTATAATATAGGCTCTGCTTAACACATTGCACAGAATCTACTTTTTAAAACATATGGTCTAGAAATTGTATTCCTATTGCTCTGCCCTCAGCTAGAGCCTCACAGTTTTGCGCTGTCAGAACAAGAGACCTTCAACCCTTGAAAATCCCTGTCACTTTTCAGACAGTCTTTAAGCACCGGGGTTTATTATTGAAGAGTGAGTAGTGGAGCAATGTATGTCATCTCATTACGACAGGGTTGGCTGGAAGTATCAGGAGTGCTTACTTGATCCACATAATATCACGTGGCATACGTATTTCCTCACCTCAGGCAGAGAAAAGTGGTATCAGTTCTCAAAATGCGAATTTGAAAATTGTTCATTTTCTGTACTAGATACTTTGGCCAGCAGCTCAATAAAGTTTGCCACCCTACTGTCTGTCTTGAGAACCTGGTAATCTCCATCACCCTTCCATTTTTCTTCCTAACATGTTAATGTCAAATTTGTTGTTTTTTTCTCTGTAAAACAGCTGCAGAAATAATGTGCTTCTAAAAATAACATTATCCTTGTGGTGTCTGAAATACCTACTTATACTATATGCAAAATAAGTTGGCTTCTTTTTGTACAATTCATATGAATCTGACTTCCTTAAAAAAAAAAAAAAAAGGCGATAATCTGAAATGTTTGCACACAGCTAGATCATTTCTGAAGGCTCTTTCAACCCAAATTTCAGTAATCATTCTGAAATGGTCAATGTGATGAGATGGGAATGATTGATTGTGCCCTGGACTTTAAATTAACGAGACAGCTTGAGGAGAGCAATTTAGGAAAATGTTTCTGAGCTAAGAGGAACCGCCATTTGGATGTACATCAGCTTTTATGAGATCATAAATTTGCCTACCAATGAGCTGAGGTTTCCACATGTGGAAGGAGATGGGTGTTGTATGCCTTGGATGTTTCTCAGAACAGGTTAGAGAAAGTTTAGGTAAATCTGATCTGGCTGAGGGATTGACTGGAACACCCCGAGAAGGTTCCTTTTGCTCAAGTTTCAGTCATTATTCTCAAGTGAGGA